ATGGTTCTATCTCTTTTTATTCTAGTTGATCAATTACCATTTAATTCTAATGGAAAACTAGATAAAGCAGCACTTCCTAAACCTAATCTATCATCATTACTTTTACCAATAAATAATGATGAAATTTCTAATGATCAAGACAATGAAATATCAATGACAAATGAACAACAACTTGTACATGATCTTTGGTGTGATATATTATAGTTGGATGTAGACTCAAAAATACCTATTAATCGTTCATTTTTCTCATTGGGTGGTAATTCATTAGCTATAATGTGTCTCTTTGCACAATATCAAATAAAATTTTCTCTTGATACTAAATCTTCGTCATCATTTAATATTGCTTCTTTATTTCGTCAACCAACTATTGCTGAACATACTCAAATTCTTCAACAATGGCTTGATCATACTTCTTCTCAAACTCATCAGCCAACTCAATTATGGTCAACTCTAAATATTTCTCAAGGTAATCTATAATTTTATTTTTTTCTCCCTCTATACATATATATAAAATCTATTGTTTATTTTAGCTGAAGCATCCTATGGTCAACAATGTATTTTTGCTGATCAGACTATTCGTTTTTCAAATGAAACATCTATTTATAATGTTCCTTTAGTTTATCGTATTATATCTAATTCGAATAGTCAACAGATTACAATTGATCGATTACGTCAAGCTATTGATGGAATTATTGCTAAACATGCCATACTTCGAACATCATTAGATTGGAATATAGATACGAATGTTTTAGTTCAATCTATTCAACAATTTAATTATAGAAATCAATATGAATTTGTCATTAGTTATGCTGAGAATGATGAAGAAATAACAAAAATAATTAATAAAGAAATTACAAGTTCAAAATTATTTGATCTTAATCGAGGCATTATATTACGATGTCACATAATTAAATATAATTCAACGAGAAAAGATGAAGAAATATGTTTAGAAAACAATGATATTATTATTTTTAAGCTCCATCACATTGCATTTGATGGTGCTTCTCGACGAATATTTTTTAGTGATCTTAAATATAATTTAGAAAATGATAGTACATTATTAAATAATGAAAATCAATTTCAATATATTGATTATTCAGTTTATGAAAAACAAATGGATATAATATCATCTTGTCATTTCTGGCAATCACATCTTTATGGATTGAATTTAGAACGTCGTATTATGTTACCTTTTGATCGACATCGTTTATTAACTGATCAACATTCAGGTTTTGCTCATCTTATTGATATTCCATTTGATAATGATTTAATACATTCATTTCTTGATTATGCTTCTTCACAAGATATTACACCATTTCAATTAGGTCTTACCATATTTTATACATTTTTATATAAATTAAGTCAGAATCAAAATGATCTATGCATTTCATGTATTCATGCTAATCGATATAGAACAGAATTACAAAATCTAATTGGCATGTTTGTTGCAACATTACCACATCGAATTTAGATTCATCCTACTTATTCATTCAATCATCTTATCAAACGAGTTCAAAATGAATTTTATTCAATTCTTGAACATACACATTATCCTCTTCAACAAATACTTCAAGATTTAGATTATAAACATTCATCTGCTGCTTTTCTCTATATATTATTTGATTTCATTACTTATTCATCTGATACTGATCTTCTATCTGTAAATCAAACACAATTTCAACCAGTACCACTGAAACAAATGCAAAATGTTGTTAAATTTGATATGAAACTATTATTTTTTCATGATCCAACAGTTCAAAATCAAACAATATCATGTTCTTTATTCTGTTCACAAGATGTATTTGATAGCGAAACAGTAGAAGAACTATCAAAACAATTTCAACATCTTCTTTCACAATTGTTTGTTAAACATCCATCTTCATTTGATTTAGTTAATCAATCAATATCCAAATTATCATTTTGTTTGGAGAATGAGCCTAAATAAATACAACAAACAATCTTTCATCGATTACCTAATATTAAGAATGAAGGTGTGCTTATTTGTATAGATTTGTATCGTATATAGTCTTTGTTCTGTTAAGGGCCAACTTCTTATGCACAATCTCGTTTTTGGTTTGATGAACAAATTCGATTCGATCCAGATAAATCACAAGTTGCAATTAATAATATGCCTTTTCTCTATCGTCTTCATTCACAACATACATTATCAACTAGACAACTTCATCATGCACTTCAACTCATTCTTACAAAACATCAATTATTTTCGATAATGAAACAAATAAACTTATACAACGAATTATTGATATCAATGATCATACTAGAAAACTATTTACATTTATTGAAAGTACTTTCGAAACAGATGAACAACTTCATACTAGTATGTACGATGAGAAATACAATTCTCAACTTTTTCATCTTGATCAAGGTCTTGTCTTTCGATGTCACATTCTCTATTATAAACAAATTTCTTCAAATAATCTTCTCTGTGATAAAGATAGAATTATTTTCAATTTTCATCATGTTTTATTTGATTTTCCATCGATGAAAATATTTCTTCATGATCTCAATCAAGCATATATGACAAATCAACTACCTATCAATCATAATACTGATCTACGTTATCTTGATTGTATATATTTCTCATATTTATCTTTGTTAATAGATCTTATCTCTTTTCTTTTCTTTTTATTATTTAGATGCTCTTATTGAACAACAAATGTCAATGACTAGTGCAAGTATGTTTTGGCTTGATACTCTTCTTGATTGTAATCTTGATCGATCTTTATCATTACCCTATGATCGACATCCTCTCTCAAATGAACATCGAAGTGGTCGTGGAATACCAATCTCATTTGATTTTGGTCAAGATCTTTCATATGATTTTCTTAACTATGCATTAACAAACAATATAGAACCTCAATATCTAGCACTTACCGCTTATTATATGTTCTTATTTAAATTAACTGATGGAGAAAGAGATATATGTATTGAAATGAATACACATACTCGATATAAAGATAAACTTAACTCAATAATTGGATCATATGAAAATCTTATTCCATTGCGATGCCAATCAGATTGTGATGGTTCATTTCGTCAACTAGTTGAATATGTTCAAGAAATGGCAACAAATTGTATGAAATATTCATATTTTCCTCTTCAACATATTCTTGCACAACATTCTGATTGTTCAAAGCCTACATTTCTTGATGTGTCTTTTGATTTTGTGACTGTTGAAAAGAAAATAATGATTGGTAATAGTGAACTTTGTAGTATTCCATTATCAATTACAATGAATGAAGATGATGCTAATGTTGGCAAGTTTGATTTCATTCTTACTATTCAATATGATCTCAACATAAATCAATTCTCATGTATAATTAATGCATTACTCGATTTATTCAATCACGAGAGACAATAAATAAGATTTCACAACAATTTCATTCAATATTATATGATCTGTTTATATCTGTTAATGATATAATGAAAAATAAATCAATCTATGAAATGTCAATAATGTTACCAAATGAAAGATTACTTATACAATCAATGAACAATACACAAGTATCGTTTCCTTCTGCCACTTGTATGCATCATGAATTTATTTATCAAGTAGCACAACATCCACAAAAAATAGCTGTTGAACTTGATGAACAATCATTAACATATACAGAACTTTTATATTATGTTCAACAACTTTCTCTCGTCTTATTAAATAAATACCATGTGAAATGGGATGATATTATTTGTCAGTGTGTAGAGCGAAGTTTATCTATGGTAAATATATTTAGAAAATATGGTGTGCAATAAAATGTGTATAATATATCCTTTATTTCTCTTTAGGTCATTGGCATTTTATCAATTATTATGGCCAGTGGTGCCTATTGTCCTTTATCATCACAAGATCCGTCACAACGTCTACAAATTCTTGTGAAAGAAACTCGAAGTCATTTATTTCTTGTTCATTCATCTACACGCATTCTTTTTGAAATCGATATTGTAACTTTAAATATTGATACAATTATAAATAATGAAGCAAATTCTACCAGTATTCATCTGACTCAAATGTCAAATGTACCAATAACACCAGAAAATATTCTCTTTGTAGTTTTTACTAGTGGATCAACTGGTATTCCGAAAGCGGTTTGTATAATATCCTTTTTTTGTGACTATTTGTATTTTTTTAATATATTCATGTTTCATTAGGTTCAATTACGTCATCGAAATTTCACTCAATTTTTACGCTCATTTGTTTATGCTGATATATTAACAAAAACTGATACAATAATACAGATAGCTCGATGTTCTTTTGATAATCATTTATTAAGTCTTGTTGGTACATTAACTATTGGAGCTACATTAATAATGCTTCGACCAGAAGGTCATATGAATTTTGGTTATCTTGCAAGAGTATTGAATGAAAAACAGATTACTGTTATGCAAGCTGTTCCATCTTTATGGAATAGTCTATCTAATTTTCTCAAAACTACTAATCGAAAATCGTCAGTACAATGGTTACGAACTATATGTAGTGGTGGTAAGTAATTCTTGTTATACTATTATCATATTCTTTTTGACTTATTCTATCATAGGTGAAGTTCTCAACAATAAACTAGTTAATCTATTGAGAAGTCAAGTGAGAAGTGAATGTCGAATTCGAAATCATTATGATCCAGCTGAAATTACTATTAATTGTACCAATCATTTAATTGATCTAAATAAAGATCAAACAGATATTCCAATAGGTCAATATCTTCCCAATTATCATTTTTTAATATTAGACATGTTCTTACAAACTGTTGGTATTGGACAAGAAGGAGAATTAGTTGTTGGAGGTGTTGGTGTTTTTGCTGGATATCGTGGTCGTGATGATTTAACAGCTCAAGTAATGATTAATATTAATGAGCAAATATTTTATAAAACAGGTGATCTTGTTAAAATGGATAGCAATGGACTGATTCATTATGTTGGTCGGAGAGATTTTCAAGTGAAATTACGTGGACAACGTATTGAATTACAAGAAATTGTACAATGTTTACTTATGTTAACATCCGTTACTACATGTGTTGTTATCAAATGGGATGAAAATCATCTTATTGCTTATGTTCAAAGTGATAGCATTAATGTTGAACAATTACGTCATCATTGTCAATCTAATCTACCATCACATATGATTCCATCAATATTTATTATACTTGAAAAACTACCTTTGAGTCCAAATGGAAAAGTAGATCGAAAACGTCTTCCACCACCGGATTTATCATTATTGACTCTCTCATCATCATCATCATCATCAACAACAGGATTAGAAAACAGATCTAATCTTCCACAAAATCAATTACAAAAACAAATACATGATATTTGGTGTGAAATTCTTCGATGTTTCGGACAACACATTTCAACAACTGCAAATTTCTTTAGTATTGCTGGTCATTCACTTTTATTTATTGAACTTTATCATCGATATCAACAATTATATGATTTTGATAATCGTGTACTTTCTATTGGCTTATTTCTTCAACAACCAACTATTCTTCAACATTCACAATTACTTCAATCTATTACAATCAATCAAATGAAATCAGAACATTGGCATACACTACATATCAATCAAGGTAATAAAAAATTGTAATGTTAATATTCAAAAAATAAACTAAAATATTGTTTTTTTTTTCTCTCTCATTAATAATGAAAATTTTTAGGTATTGCATCTTTTGCTCAAGAACGTATTTTTCTTGATGAACAAATGCGTTTTTCTAACAAAATTGCTATCTACAATGAACTGACTGCTTTAAAAGTTATTCAAGGTTCAATATCAAGAGATCGTCTATTAGAAGCTATTGAATATATTTTAAATAAGCATAAAATATTACGTACATTCCTCACTTTCAACAATGATAATGGTATTCTTGAACAACATATTGATAATAAACATCGTATATTTCAACTTGTTCCCAATCAAACATTTCAAAATGAAAATGAACTTCAAGATATTCTCTATCAAACAATTATTAATCCTAATTTATTTGATTTATCCACTGGTCGTGTTTTTCATTGTGAAGTACTTCGACAAGAACTCATATCTAATAATAATAATAATAATGATAATAATAATAATGATAATAATAGATTCATTACAGATTCTGATATTCTTCTTATAGCATTTCATCATGCTGCAACAGATCGATCAGCTTATCAACTTTTTCTAAATGACCTTTGTTTTGCTTATAATACAAATGTAAAATGGGTAGGTGACGAAGATTTATTACAATATATTGATTATTCTGTTCACGAACGTTTAATTGATATGAAACCATCACGTGATTTTTGGCTTCTAGAATTGAAAGACTATGATTTTGAACATCGATTATCATTATCGACTGATCAACATTGTTTATCTAATGATCAACGATCTGGTTTTGCTTCAATTGCTCAGATTTCTTTTGATAAAAATATTTCAAAATCATTTCTTAATTATGTTTCTACACATCAAACTACTTCATTTCAATTAGGTATGGCATTATTTTATATTTTCCTATTTAAATTAACTCAAGATCAAAATGATTTATGTATTTCTTGTCATAATGCAAATCGATATAAAACTGAATTACAAAATATGATGGGAATGTTTATTTCAACATTACCATATCGTATGAAACTTGATTCTAGTTGGTCATTTAATGAACTTGTTAAACAAGTACAAGATAAATGTATATCAATTCTTGAACATTCTCATTATCCATTACAAAATATTCTAACTGATATTCATGCTAGTCAATCTAATGTTTCTTTTCTTCAAACAGTATTTGATTTTATTACTCGATCTCCTGGTATTGATCAATTATCTTTAGATGATGTCAATTTAAAACCAATTGAATTAAAACAATCCATTGAAATTGCTAAATTTGATTTTATGTTAACATTTATTTACAATCCAATGTTAAATGATGAGATGTTATCATGTCGTTTTGTTTGTTCACATGATCTATTCGAAGATATGACAGTTACGAAAATTGCTCGACGATTTCAATATCTTATTGAACAACTATTTTCAATGGATTCTAATATTAATCAAACTGATATTCTTGTTTCACCTATTACTAAACTTAGTCTTATTTTACCAGAAGAAGTTTATGAAATGGAACGCATAGTTTTTTGTCGATAACCAGATATTATAAATGAAGGTATATATATGTCTTTAATGTATTTGAGAAAATTATTAGATGATAAAAATATACGTGTACAGGATTCACACTTACATCCTTATCCATTCCCATCAAAATTAAGCATATTCATCTTTTAATGTTCTTATTATTATTATATAGCACCAGCATCATATGCTCAAGCACGTATTTGGCTTGATGAACAAATTCGTTTTGATTCAAAAAACCCTCAAGTTGCCATATATAATATGCCTTTTCTTCATCGACTTTCATCGCGTGGTACTCTATCAATATCTAAACTTCGTCAAGCTTTACAACATGTTCTTATAAAACATTCTACTCTTCGTACATCACTCTATTTCGATACAAATAAAAATATATTAATGCAAAAGATTATTGATCATACTGATAATAAAGAATTATTTACATTTATTGAAAGTACTTTCGAAACAGATGAAGATCTCAATAAAATTATGCATAATGAACGTGGGAATCCAAATAATTTTAATCTATTGACTGGTGTTGTTTGTCGGTGTCATGTTGTTTATTATAAAAACATTTCTCAAAAAGGAATCATTTGTGAAAAAGATGCACTAATCTTTAATTTTCATCATGCTTTATTTGATTTTCCATCAATGAAAATGTTTTGTCAAGATCTTGATCAAGCATATACAATGGGTTACTTGGAAAATGATGATAATACAACTTTGCGTTATCTTGATTGTATGTTAACTTATTTAGTTTATTGTTTTTATATTTTATACTGACATACTTTTCATTTTATTTAAGATGCTCTGGTTGAACAACAAATGCCAATGACAGCTGCCAATGCATTTTGGCTTGATGCTCTTCGTGATTGTGAAATCGATCGACCTTTACAATTACCATTTGATCGACATCGTGTTTTTGATGAACATCGTACAGGTCGTGGAACTTCAATTTCATTTCAAGTTGACAACGATCTTTCAAAAGCATTTCTAACTTATGCATCAACATATAATATTAAACTTGAATATTTAGCACTTGCTTCTTATTATACATTCTTATTTAAATTAGCCAATAATGAAAATGATATATGTATTGTTATGAATAATCATGGTCGTTCGAAACCTGAATTAATGTCAATTATTGGAATGTTTGTTAATGCACTTCCAATGCGATGTCAAATTAATTCTAATCAGTCATTTGATGAATTTGTACAACATGTATATACAAGAGCAACACAAACATTCGAACATTCTTATTTTCCTCTTCAACGTATTCTTGCTCAACATCCACATATTTCTCGTCCTACATTTCTTGATGTATTCTTTGGATTTGTTTCTTTTTCAACTGATGATAGTCATAATGAAGTGACATTAGGAGATGTTCCTATTTATATTATGCCTGATTCAATTCAGATAAATACAGATGAAATTGCAAGTAAATTTGATTTTTCTCTAAGTATTATACATGATACAATAACCGACCAATTATCATGTTCAATCGAGGCATCTCTTGATTTATTCAATCCATCAACAACATATAAAATTGGACAACGATTTCAAATTTTACTTCAACAACTTTTCACATCAGATTTAATAGATCAAACTTATCAATCGATTCATGAATCATCAATAATGTTACCTAATGAAAAGATTCTTATGACATCAATGAATAATACTCAAACTTTATTTTCTTCATCGAATCATTGTATACAACATGAATTTATCCAACAAGTAAATAAACAATCACAAAAGATAGCCATGGAACTTGATGAGCAATCTCTTACTTATAATGAATTATTATATTATGCACAATGTTTATCTCTTGAATTTCTAACAAATTCAAATTTTATTCCTGGTAATGTTGTTTGTCAATGTATAGATCGTAGTATATCAATGGTAGGTTATCTTATAAAACGAACTATTTTCCATTTGATTAATTGATTATTATTGTATTATAGTTTATTGGTATGTTATCTGTTATTATGGCTGGTGGTTCTTATTGTTCATTATCGCCTCGGGATAAATTCAAAGAGAAAACAATGATAATTAATATTAATACAATGATAATAAATAATAATGAAACAGTCAATACAAATCATTTAGATCTATTTACAACTTTCAAAATAAACTCTAAAAATGTTGCTTTTGTAATCTTTACTAGTGGTTCAACAGGCACATCAAAAGCGGTAATAATTAATTCATAATAATATCATATTATTCTATTTTATTTTCTTATATAAAGGTTCAAATAATGCATTATAATCTATTGAATTGTATTTGATTGATGATGAATTAGAGAAAAAAATCAAATGATACTGATTGAAAATGTTTTTAAGTATTTTCAATCATCTTGAGGGTGTGGATGTGGTTATGGATCGCCTCTCTATATTATACACACTATACCTACACTCACACTCATATCCACAATCTCACACTACATCTGATGAACATTGATTACGAAAGGATCTGTGTACAGATCATTGTACGCTAAACGTGTTTTTCACGATTACAGACTTATCGTCAAATGAGGCGTGAAATTCCGTCAAAAATGATGTTTTTAACGCGCGTCTGCGACCATAAAAGTAACGTATTTAGCCATTAAACGATTAAATTTAAAATTTACAACGATTTTGGTATAGGAAATGAGATTATATCAAGGTTATCTCTAAAATTGAGAAACCATTTGTAAGTCTGATTAACATAATAAAGTCTTCATGTAGTTCGATTCATAGAATAACCGATTGTAATCCGATTTATTGATATCTTTGACAAGGTTTGTTGGACAGAACATAGAGTTTGAAAGAAATTCTAGAAGTTTACATGATTAAGATGGGATTTCCTAGGTGAATTCGTTACACGATTATCACTGAACGCGATCAAGAATCAAACATTGATTTTTATTTAACTATCAGAGTGTAGTTTTATCGATCTCTGTTACAAAATTTGAACACAACCATATTTTTTTTCTTTTTTGCATGCATAATCTCGCTTGAACGAACAAGTATAAGCTGGATCAGATGATCTAATTCGAGATTTACTTAACACTCTATTCTAACTATTTTTCTTTTCAGATTTAGTTTATTAAGCTTTTAGTAGTTTTGAAACTAACAAAAACATGACTACTCCATACTATGTACTGGAACAACTGTTTCGCACAATTCAACTACATCCGCAAAAAGTGGCGGTGGTACTTGATGATCAGATGTGGACGTACAGCGAATTGGCGGAACAAATCAAACGCACGACCTATTATCTGCATCGTTCGAACTTTGTTCGAGGCCAGATTGTTTATCAGTTTGTCGAACGAAGTTTGGAAATGGTTTGTGGGTTATTTGGCATTATATGCGCAGGTGGTGTATACTGTCCATTAAATCTCACAGATCCATATGAACGGGTTACTTCGATTCTCGAACAATTACAAGGTTCATACGTTTTAACACATAAAAAAACCCGTCATTTATTCCCAAGAACAAATTCAATCAAACAATTTATTTTGCTAGACGAGATTCTTTCTCCGTTATCGGATGTGGAAGACATGGAAGAGCTTCCACATTGTAAAGAGCATGGTGATGCACTTATTATTTGTACATCTGGTACAACTGGTCGACACAAAGCTGTAGTTCATTCTTTTCGAAGCTTGTCAACTAGCATTCGTGCTTTTAGCCAATGGGGCCTTGGTATATATACTAATCAAGATCAGGTGCTACAGGTTGCGGCGTGTTCATGGATTTTACATATATCCGAAATCATGTTACCACTAGTAGTTGGTGGCACACTTGTATTGTTGAGACCGAATGGTCATTTGGATATGGACTATTTTTCTCAGACTCTGATGCAACAACAAGTGACAACAATTACAATTGGTCCTGCGATAATTCAAGCTCTCACCAGTTACCTTGAGAAAACCCAACGACTGGCTACTTTGAAGCTTCTACGCAATGTGATCACAACAGGTGATTCCGAAATCTCCAATTACTTGAAAAAAGAATGCTTTTCTAACTGATTTTCATGTCATTTAGGCGAGGCCGTGAAGCCCCAACAACTAGTAAACTTAGTCAGTGTATTACAATCGTTTGATGTCAAAGTATGTACCCAGTATGGTATGACTGAATGTAATGCGGCTCTGGGCTGTCGACTACTCAGTTTCGATGATGGCTTTGTACCTCTGGGTCATCCACTTCCCGGTTATCGATGTTTGCTCATCGATAAACACGGACAGATCATAGACAATACGAATAGATCCAGTGAAATTGGTCAACTGCATATAGGAGGTATGATATATTTTCTTTTCAATTTCTATTGAAGATGGTCTTTCGATTGTTTCATCGTAGGATCAGCCCTATTTGACCGTTACTTCAACGATCCAGAGCGAACCGACAATATGTTCGTCACTATTGATAACCAAATTTATATGAAAACAGGTGACTTAGCTCGATATAATGAACGAGGTGAACTGGTGCATTCTGGACGTATTGATTTTCAAGTCAAAGTGCATGGTCAAAGAGTGGAAACAACTGAAATTGAAAATACAATTATCACTTGGTCTTCTGACAAGATCTCTAACTGTCTTGTCACCAAAGCTCCACAGAACGATGATTTTCTTGTTGCTTATGTAGTCTCAAATGATTTACAGATCGATACAGAAGAACTTCGACAACACTGCAGGAAATACCTTCGTCAATATATGGTTCCATCTATATTTATTATATTGGAAAAGCTGCCATTGAATGCTAATGGAAAAATAGATCGTAAGAACCTTCCCGTGCCAGACTTTTCGGTTCTCGCAACGATTGCTAATGATCGCAGATACATAGAACCAATGGGGAAAGTCGAAATACTTGTGCATTCATTGTGGTGTGAAATACTGGATCATAGTCGAATTTCAACGAGTGCAAACTTTTTTAGTATTGGTGGTCATTCTCTTCTATTTATTCAAATCTATCAACATTATCGAACATTATTTAATTTTGATAAGGAAATAATAAATATTCGATCATTCCTTGATCATAATACTATAGCCGAACATGCAAAACTACTAGAAAATATTAAGATCAATAATATGCAAGAAAAACAATGGCACACACTACATATTAATCAATGTAAGGCATATAGAAGCACTTCTGCATCAGGATACGATATTTTTGTTGTAATTTACAGGCATTGCATCGTATGCTCAACAACGCATATTTCTTGATGAACAAGTTCGTTTCTCTGACCAAATTGCTATTTATAACGAGCTGATTATTCTAAGAATTACGACAGGTTCATTATCAGTGAATCGCTTATTGCAAGCTCTTCGCTATCTCCTAAGTAAACATAAGATATTAAGAACTTCTCTAGTTTTCCATGATAAGAATAGTATTTTAAGACAATCTATTACTGATAAACATCTGTCATTTACATTGGCTGCCAATCAAACGTTTCAAAATGAAGATGAACTTCATAGCATTATCTCACAAATAAATACTAATCCTACTTTGTTCGATTTATCAAGTGGTCGCGTTTTTTATTGTCAAATACTCAGACAACAGATAACATCTAATGAAAATCATGAAAAAGAAATTATCGCAGATTCTGATGTTCTCGTTATCGGCTTTCATCATGTTGCAATTGATCAATCAACTGTCTCAGTTTTTCTAAATGATTTATGTAGTACTTACAATAGTAACGCGACGTGGTTAGGTGATGAAGAATCATTACAGTATATTGATTATAGTGTTCATGAGCGTCTAATCGATATGACACTATCACGTGAGTTTTGGCGCTCTCAATTAAATGGATACAATCAAGAATGTCGATTATTACTACCAGTTGATCGGCATCGCTTATACAGTGAACAACGATCTGGATATGCTTCCATTGCTCATATCTCATTTGATAATGAGGTCTCAATATCGTTTCTCGATTACGCATCTTCACATCAAGTCACACCATTTCAACTATGTCTAGCAACATTCTATGCATTTCTTATCAAGCTAACACATAGACAAAATGATTTATGCATCTCTTGTCACAATGCAAATCGATACAGAACTGAGTTACATAATATGGTTGGAATGTTTGTTTCAACATTACCATATCGTATTCAAGTTGATTCTGACTGGTCATTTGGTGAACTTGTTGAATATGTGCGAGAAAAATGTTTATCAATTCTTGAACATTCTCATTATCCACTACAACACATTCTTACGGACACGCAACTTAAACAGTCAAATGTTCCATTTCTTGAAACAGTGCTCAATTTTATCACTATCTCTGGAAACAGTCATTGGTTTATTGACACAGCAATGTTGAAGCAATTACCAACACAAGAATCATATGGTGCTGCTAAATTTGATTTTTCGTTGACTAGTCTTTTTAATCCAACATCTGATGATACTAAACTATCATTTTGTCTAACCTGCTCGCGTGATCTATTTGGAGATACGACAGTTACAAAAATGATACAAAGATTCCAATATCTTTTTGAGCAACTTTTTTCAATGAATTTCAACGTTATTCAGACTGATTTAGTAGTTTCACCTATTGCCAAACTTACTCTTATCTTACCAGATGAAATGAATGAAATACAACACGTGGCCTTTTATCGTCAATCAAATGCCACAAATGAAGGTATGTCTTTTTCCTATTTATCGTTGATATGGATCAGTTAGGTGAGAGAGAGACATGTATGATATGGATAAATATTATATTTTCAAAGTTGGAAGTATTGATTTACCTTGTGTTACTTCAAGATTCATAGTGTTAGTCTGTTCTTCAATACAGAATAAAAACACATAATATGAAAAAAGTCTTACTGATCTTCAATGTCAAACCCTTTCAAAACTTTTTGCTGATAGAATATTATACAGTATGGATATACAGTATAGATATATGAAGTTTAGTAGTAATGATAAGCATAAGAATTATGATTATAAAGGTGTTAAGTTTCTGGCATGATTATTTTCAACTAGAATGCTAAGAATAATATGACAACTAAGTGAAATATAGTTTAGTTTAAAAATTTTTAGATAGTTTTTTTTAAATATTTATTTGACATAGTAAAATTCAAATTTAATCCAGAAGATAATGAGCTATATCAATATCAATGGCAATTTCGCTATCTTATAATATTCTAATTATAGCATCATCAAATCTGTTTCTTTAAACACCACTTCGAACAACAACATATTTTAGTGACGCTAACTTATTTTTTTTAATTAAGATTAGCCACTGTTCAAGTGCAAATCGCTTCTTTACACTTTAGTTTCACGCTTTTTAGGCAAATCTATATCTATAATT